TTGATTCAACTAGATTACGTCACCTTCAAATACATAATATTACTTCATCATTATGATCATTTTATAATGTAACATTTTTTTGTTATTTTCACTATTATGCTCAAGTTGTTCCTTTCAATTATTTTCATTCCAATATAAACACAGTTTGGTTGATAAACGTAGTAAGAATAATTTATTAAAGTAAATGGATTTATTTTAATTTCTATTTAGGTTTCTCTTACATTACAGAAAATGATCAACTGAAATTTGAATCATTTCATCACCATAGATTTAATGCAAGTCAAATATTATCAACTGAAGGGTATTTTATAAATGTTAGCAGTTAGTGAGAAATTGGGTTTAGACTAACAAGAAAAATGGTAAAATCGATATCAATCAGAAAAAAAGGAACACTAATTACACTACTTATAAGAGTTGTTGGATACTACTTAAATAGTAATTTGTAATCAAAGAAATTCCAATAGAATTAAGCTTTAACTTTATGGAAAGATATTTGAAATGTTCCAACAAAGGAATAAATAATGTTTGTATGAAATTTAAGAAGTTAAGAGATAGGTATTGGTTGATAATTTAATAACAATAAGACGTTTAATAAATTACATAATTTATTAATCTAATAGACAGTTGACTAAAAGTATTTCGTAATTCGTAGAAAATAGTCGATAAGCTGTATATTTCTCAGTAATTTATTTTACTTCCTATTAATTGATGTAAGTATCAAACTGAACCAATGATAATTAATCAAAGTTGTAGTAGATGTTCTCGGTGGAATCCGGGACACATGTTTCGTCCTATTAGGGACTAGTCAGCTGAATTTACTTTCATATCAGTGTTTATACTCACATCCAGTATCTCCTGCTACAAACGCACATACTCTAAAAGAGATTGGTGAAAGGGATCCCATAAAGTTAACAACGAGAAAATACAAACAATTATAAGTTAAATAGTGATATGCTTACGAACTGAATGCGATTCAGAAAAGATAAGTTAGTAAAAGTAAAAAAAGGATTGGAATGTTTGTAATAGCTACCAATCTGACATTTTAATGCTTTCTTCGAGACAAAAAACGATCATCACATGTTTTCCTTTTGTCCACATTTAGAGTTTAAATCTTGTTGCGCATGTTATATGGTAGCGCATTTTATATTGATGAATAAATAATGAAATCTTAAATAAATCGGTTGCAACATTAATGATAGCTTTCTCTGGTTTATTCCGAAGTGTAATTCCTTAAATATGTCAATTTTTCAACAACAAATAAACAATATCCGATTTATAATAATTTACTCTTTTTGGGTGATTTGCTTTCAGTATGGTGGAATTATTTTTAAGGTTACACCAGAGATTTAACTGTATCACACAGACCGTAAATCATAAGTCGTAGACTGAGAGTGATATCTACTTAGGTCAGGGTGCTTATATTTTTTTAGATATCCCAAATAAGTATAACCAAGATAATCAGCTGCAATCAAACGATTGTCAAATTCCTATCAAGTGAAATAAAATGATTGGTTCAGAGTTACCCAATCAGTGGTAATAAATTCATATGGATTTTTCGACTGGTAAGAAAGATTCCACAGCTAACTGTAATAAATAACATTATTGTGTAAGACATTAATTAGTTGGTTGTTTGAACATTGTGGTACAGTATAACTGTTTGATATATAATCGTTCGTTAAAGAAAAATCACGTGGGATAAGGGAAGAACAGAGGCAGAAAGCCAAAAGTGTTCAATTTAGCTAACTAGCTATTATTCTTTTCATACTAGCATCAGAAATAGATAGAACAAGCACAATTGAGACTTATTGAATATCTTACCATAATCAGGTACTTACATCTTACATACATTAACCTAAAAGGTTTTTGACAAACGTTGCTTCCAATTACGTTTCTGACTTCATTTACGAGGCGTAAGCAATAGGACGAAACGTGCGTCCTGGATTCCACTGCTAGTCACCATCTATCTTTACTTATAGTTCTAACCTTTGGTTATATAGGATTACGAGTTTTAAAAGATTTATAAACGGTTAAAAATCTATCATGGCAAACTGATAGTTGTCACCAAACTAACTAGTTAACTAGTTATTCTTACATCAGCTTTTTAATTATCATAAAGATGGGCTGGCGACATTTCAGCATCAGACGCTAGTTATTGAAGATAATTTTGTAAAACTGAAAAGGATAAAGTAGTGCATTAGAATCGATTTAAATGATGCATTCTTTCAGCTTGACAGTAACGAATCAATTCAAGAAGTGTACACCGTGGAAGTTCATATTTGAGGTTATTTTCGTACACTACGTAAATATCTGATCTATAAAATCCCCAAAAACATGTAGCGGTAGACCTAGACAGTTTGATCACAGTAGTTTAGTTAACTGAAGAAATATTAGCATTACATAACGATTTTTCATCAGACATATAGGATTAATGACTATATCTTCCCGAAGAAGAATGTATGGTCATCTTTGTTTTTAACATATTCTGTATCATGAACGCTTGGAATTTTGACTTCCAAGCAGTTTTCTTGACTCCGATGATGTATTAAAATTTAGCCCTAAGCAAAACCAGATATTTTTTTAGGATACAAAGTTTTCTTAGCTGATACAGTTTGTTTTTCATAGTGCTGCCACAACTACTTGGTCCAGAGAATCCATTACTTGCAGAGAATATACATTCATTTAAGTCATGTGAGAGTCAGGATGTCTTTAAGCTAATAAAATTTATCGTTGGACATGGCGTGCTTTCGACCTAGTATATTCGTAAATGTACGTTCTTATGGCTGATGACATTTTATAATACTGTACTAACTTTGTATCCCCTCATGCATTCTATAGTGCCAGTGAGAAAATCCCTCACTCACTCACTGCAACCAAGACGTAATTGCATTCACATTCAGAGAACAAATCACACGATTATCTATACGAATAAATTACATAATTATCTAAACGTTTCAGGACGTCGTCTGTCTTCAACATCGGGCTTCTAAATGATCTGACCTATTCTCATAATAGCAGTTCTTAGCTAACAGTGTAAGTTTATATTCTTCAAAACATATGGTGATCGTCCCGAAATTCTATCATTTCATAACAGCACTATTTCACAAATGGTTCGGGAACCCCGGTTATTGTTAATGTTGTTCAGATCACTCGATAATTTAGCACAAGATACTTAATTGTATGGTGTTGGAAACATCTACCTTCAACAATGCACTGTAATTCTACCTTCAACAACTCCCTTGGAATGCAATATTCAGGCTTACCAGTTTGTTGGAACTTTTAAGTAATGCTAAATTTTGAAAAAACACGACAAACGGAAAAAGCGTTGAAGAGATTTCTGGTTAACTACTAAACAATCAACCCACAATTTCTAGAGAGCATATGACCTACCAAGGGAATAACTGAAGGGAATTCCACAGTACACCAATATAGTATTTGCTTGAGTTTTAAGGAAAATATCAAGTAAAACTACAAATCCATCGCGAACAAACTGAAAAATGGGAAACACGCTGATTTTAGTTCGTGACTACTAGCAGAATCGAGTACCTGATATTCTGTTCAGATTTGAAAGTTAAATGTTCGAACCCGGTATTCTAAATAATCTTAAACTTTTGGCTAGTAATCAATTGAAAAGGATCAGGGATTAACTCATGCACAACTATCCCTCTACGTATTTCATTTAACAAGATGATGAACAGACAGATAAGTAGAAAGACAATCAAAAGTGGGACATTATATACATATACATAAAGGAAATACCTTTCCTTAGAACTGTAAACATTAAATAGACATCAAACAGTATTTATATTCGAACTAGATAGTTATAAACGACTCAAAAAGAATGATAATCTATTTTACCACTTACAATCAAACCATCATAGGATCTGATTCATAATCTCTATGCTTGGATGATTAGTATTTGTCTTCATGATGAGATAAAGATTACTAAATATTTTGGTGGCTTAATGAAAAATTGATTATGATTAGTTGTATACAGTATTAAGTGTACCATTAAAAAATCTGATTCACAGGACAGCGTCAATAATCAAAGCTCAAATAACATCTTATCGTTTTAGAAAAGGTTTCATGTACGCCACTATGTTGGGTGCCTAACCATAAATCATATTTATTTTGGAGTGATGACTAAACAGATGAAACTTCATGTGAGGTAGGTAAACCATTGTACAGATAGCTGAACCGCTAAGTGAAACACTTTGATAAACAGATAAACGGGGTTTAAGGAATATTCCTATTGCCCATGACTCAGTCGTAATTTAATTTAAATATTGACACTCATTCCCCCTCCCCACTCATCATCAAATTGAAAAGGTTATGGTAAAGCCGGAATTGGCGAATCATCACGACCTGATGGTAGATATAGTGATGTCTTTTCATAGTTAGGATTTCCTGGTAAAACTTTCAGAAAGGGTAGAAATTCTGTAGTATACACAGGAGGATCACCTTGAATAGCGCAGTTTCTTAAATCCTACACTCAGTGTTGCAGTTCTAATATACGACGTTTTGCAATAGCGCTATCACATGTATGAAGACACCAGACGTCATGAATCGAGATATCACGGTGAAGTATAACTTTAAATTCATGCCTTGACATATAATATGCAATAAATACATCTCATATGAATCAGAGTTTATAATGAGTTATCATTCGCAGGGTCGTTTATGTCAATGTAACTTAATATCATTCTAGTTGTACTGTGTTGCAGACTTATGAATGGGGTGCTGTTATTTGCCGTAGTTTGTAAAACAGAAATTTAGCTTGGAGATCTGGTCAGCTAAAAATACACAAACGATATCATTCTTTCAGATGAAAACACTGGGAGGATGCCGAATGCTATAATACCAATATAAGAAAATATTAGATAGATTAAGCATCTATCAAATAAACGATTATGCTTTTGTCCTGATATAGACTAAACAAATATCATATCATAGATCCACTATCATATAAAGTCATAAAATCAAGAAATTTATTAATCATTCGAGGATTAATAATGAATTCATAAACTAAGGTTCATGTAATATTGTATTATTGATATCAGCTTGGCTACATAAGAACTGTATACTTATTATGAACAGACTACTTGTATACCGAAAAAATTTTTTAAAGAAAATAAATACATAGATAAAAAATCACCTCAATCATATTTGAATTATGAAGGAATTGGACGTTGATTTAGACAAAAGTGGAATAATTACCACATGAACCTATTGAATGAAATTAAATTTTTTTTGTGTTGTCATATTTCGATATGACAAAATATGATTTCATATAACCTTAGTATTAACTAAGTGATTACGCTCAAGTATATCATGCTTACAAAGAAGTATTAATAATCGACATATGTACAAAACTAAAACAATCTTAGAACATATTAATATCTTGAAATTGAAAGTACAATTGGCGCTTCTGAGAAATACAACCTAAGGCAATAAAATAATAATTTTTAACAGACCGGAAAAAAAATTATTAATAAGAGAAAATAGAGTATCGTATTTCCTCATTTTTCTAATTAAGGAAAAAAAATACAGAAATAGATTAGTGTTGCACATAAATTATCTGGAAATATTAAGCTGACTTATTTTAGGAGATTCGTTTCATTGATTAACACAGCTCATCTAATAGGAATCTTGGTTACAAAGATTAAAAATGAAAGAGAAATAAACAGAAACACATGAAGAATGAAAGTGATCCAAAAAAGAAAACAATGCAAAGGTGAGAAATATAAAAACAAACAGAAGGATAAACGATGAATGAGAATGATAAGAAACTGTGAAAAAAGGTTCGATGACTTATGTGGAAATATATATTCATATGTGTACATGAAATTGACATAGTGAATGTCTATGAAAGCGTGCGAAACAGTGCATTAAATACAACGAGATATAATTGTTCCACGTTTATAAGATAGAGAATACATATATCTTAAAAAGTATGAGATAAAAGCACGCATCACATCGTATAGATAATCTGAAAATAAGACATCTAGGGTTTTTTTTTCAAAGATGGCGTACACGTTTAAGTGGGTTAGACAAAAATTCAACCGGAGAATTTGCAGTTGGTTCGTCAGGTTTATCAAACGATAAAAGCTCCAGACAAGGATTGTTGGATTGACTAAAAGGAAGTTGTCCAAACGAATCTAAAGATGTGTAGATGTAAAAAAAAGCGAAAACATCTGATTAACTCAGGATCCTAACTGGAATCAATGACCAACAATGTTAAATGTATCAGAAATACTTATTGTGTTAAAAAGCACAAAACCAAAATTGACAATTATACTAGATTAATTTAAACGAAGATTATTCATTCACTGAGTTTTAATAGGAATCCGTAACCAGTGCAGTTCAGCTGTATTGAGCGTGAGAACGATACCAACTGAAGACAATGGAAGATGGTTGCGCATTAACGTGGATTAATCGAGGTTAAACATATCCACTATTGCATACCGGCTCAATTGTCGAGAAATCAAGCGTTCGCAAGCGAGACCGAAGGTCCCCAGTTCGACTCCTAAATGTGGAGTCGTGGATGAGCTCTTCCAGCGAATTCCATATAAGGATGAGACTGATTTCTAGTACTTACACTTTTTCAATGGCTGTCTAACTCAAACCAGTTGGTGATTTCAATAAAACTCAACGATCTCAACAACTCCATATAGAAAAATTAGTCACATTGATACCTGTAGAAATGTCCTTTTCTTTTGAATGTCAAACAGCAGCATCTACTCGATGGCTAAGGTTATTTCGACGTACCAACGTAGGTTTTCACTTCACTGTTACACCTTTGGTTTAGGTAACTAAGTAGTAATTCTAGTCCCTAAACTTAAAGTATGAGTTGAAGTCAAGTAAACAAACCTGTACAAGGCAAGTGAGTTAACAATAACCAACGATAGGTCATATTAATTTCAAATACTTTTCAAGTGACATTTTTCTTTTGAAATTATCTTAAACCATTACAGTAACCACAATATACTGACGTGAAAATGTTTACAACGAAAATATAGTTAAAACAGAATAATTTTCCAGAACCAGACGTAAAGATTATAGCAGAAAGAAAAGAAAAAGCTGGCACCCGGAAATTAAACGATTACCAAAAATATTGACAAGATACAGATTACTTACGCGTATGCTTTTTGAAAGATATGAATTGTGTAATTAGTTAAATAATAATAAAAGTCAACAGGGAAAATATTATTCAGATAGCTAAAGGCTAATTTACCTATTGTAAATATAAATGTATAAAATTTTAGTAAATAATCAAAGATTTGGGGAAGTCGGACTGTGGCCAAAACTGAAATTCAGTATGAATGTATTATCCTACTTGGGATCTATCAGTTTTATGTATCTGAGTAATGAACGCAGTCTTGGTTTAATAAACCAATTTATTGTATCAAACAAAGTTACACACCACATATGTAAATTATGAAAACAATAGAATGAACCATTTATACGCCTTCCTTGAATTATCTCTTACACACTATATTGTTCTCCCATTCCTGTTGCTACTTCAACTGCTTCAGTTTTAATTTCTCTTTTCATTTTTCCTCTTCTGTTAATAGGAATATTAATTTCAGTCCCTGATACATACCACTTATATCTGTCCGTCTAAGTAGTATACACTACACCTGTATAGCAGAGTTAATGTTCGAATAGTGAATCGAATCTACTACCTTTCTCTACAAACGCCGACGTGTTATCCACTGAGCTACTGAATTCAGACAGCCACGGAATCGTTCAATGAGTATGAAGTTATGTGAGAGTTTGAATAATCCCATTATTGACAATTGATCAGTCCTTCTTCGTATTTATGTATCCTATGGAGATTGTCTCGATAGAGCCTTTAGTTACAAGTTTTAGTAAGGTTAAATTTAGTTTTGTAAATATCAACTCATCATATACGGCCCAGGTTAAATTAGCAGAGATTATCAACATACTACGTACAGTGAATTTTTAAGTTGACAGACAACGGTATTTTTCTAATTGTTCGTGCGTTATGATCATGTTAGTCATCCATATATTCATGTCTTTTTGCTTTAATCTGATTCAAGGACAAATTCTCTTGTGTATATACTAGTGGGCAAACGAATCAAGGACGTAACAAATTCATGAATAGAAATACAGAATTTTCGTAAAATTACTGCATATATATGTATAAACATGGGTAAGTTTTGAATTTAATGGGCTAAGTAAACGAATTAGCTCAGTCACTCAGTTATAAATAATACAGAACGTGGTATAAATATGTACAAGTACAGTGAAAACACTGAAATTTACTAACAATTAAATTTCAAACAGTATAAAGTAATATCAAAGAATTGTTTCATTCAACTGAGTGAATAACCAACCTGAGTTAACTTAAGATTAAATAAAAAAAACTTAGAGTTAATGTCAAGAGAAATAACTCCGAACAAGTGGAACGGGGATTTACAATTAGTTAAAACATGATGAAAATGATTTACTATTCAGTGGGATTTGTAAGAATTAACTTTCAAATGCAAACAAATGATCCAATAGGAACGAACAAACAAATAAAATTTTCAAAATACAGTAAAACGAACTTGAACTATTGAAGTACCTTCTGATTTACTGATATCCGCGATACTTCTTCAACAGTCTACGAGACGAGTAAGCAGCACTATATTTGTGCGTTCATATATCAACTTAACAGTCTTTTATTAGAAGTGAATTAGTTAATTGTGCTTGGATAATTTTATAAATATGAGAATTCCCAGTACGAATGGATGATCCGATGTACAGAAATCCAGTTAGACATGAGGCGTTATATTCAGTTTATTATTCCTAAACAGTTATCTAATCAGTTTAAAAATCCCCATAGAATATTCAAAATGAAGAATATTTGAGCGAACAATTGTTTTCAATAACTTTATCATCACGCTCTACAGTTATAAGTCCATAATTATATTTTACAAAGGCCCAAAATAAGGCATGTATTAATGAATTTGAAAATGTCATGTGTTAAAAATGGTGGACGTTTGCATCTGTTACGACATATATATACTTCAAAATTGTATTATTTGCAAATTAGGTCATTCAATAAAGGTCAGAATGATTTGGAGTAAAGTGTCCATTCACAATAAGTAGAATAGTATTATAGCAAAAATGAAAATGCAAAAAAAATTGTGTGAATAAAATGCATAGTAGGAGAATTGCATCTTGTCAATTGAGATAATAATAATAATATTTTTGTGTGAATATAATGTGTAATAAGGGGGGTGTTATCAAGGTAATTACCATAAACGAATTGAGAATGATGGATGTGAAGATTAAGTTAAAGGTAATCAAAAAAGAGGCGGTAAGATGTCTATAATATTCAGTTTAGATATCCGGTGATCCAGTCGTGGGCCAGGGTAAACATAGAGGCTGGATATACTTTTTCTGGATACATAAGTTTGGTTTTCTGAAGTTGATCCAGATGGCTTCGGCTATGTAGAGCAATCATAATCTAGCTCCTTGAGGTAGATATTTTGGAACTTGATATAAAACAGAGAAAGCTTTCTCTTATTTTGATATGATGTTCACTAAGTGTGAAAGACTTACTTACTTACGCCTGTTACTCCCAATGGAATATAGGCCACCGACCAGCATTCTCCAACCCACTCTATCCTGAGCCTTCGTTTCCAGTTCTATCCAATTTTTGTTCATTTTTCTCATATCTGCCTCTATTTCTCCGCCTAGTGTGTTCTTTGGTCTTTCTCTTTTCCTTTGGCCTTGAGGATTCCATGTGAGGGCTTGCCTTGTGACGCAGTTGGGTGCTTTCTTCAATGTGTGTCCTATCCACTTCCAGCGCTTCTTCCTGATTTCTTCCTCCGCTGAGATCTGAAGTGTGAAAGAATAGTGCTGTTAATCGATTTAGAAACTCCTTTTCCCAACCATGCTGGTACATGTTCACGAACACGCAAGGATAAAACCCTCTGAGTACGGCCTATGTAACTAGCTCCACAAGAGCAGTTGAATTGGTATACACACATGGATTAGCCCATCTTCGGTAACCTATCCTTGATTAGTTGTGTGAGTACTGGTTTAGTTGGGAAAATTATGTGTAGCTTGGCGGAGTGAAACGTCCTTTCGACAGATCTTTTGAATCGACGTGTTATCTAATCCCTAATTAAGTAATGGGAATTATAAACAGCAGGGTCAATAAGAGTTCAGAAGTAAAAATTTAACCATAGAAGATAATAAAATAATTACAAGTTTTCATCTATCAATTTCTTTAAGAAACTATCTACATATGAGAGAAAAACTCGATCAACAAAATTGATAATGGATGTAGGTAACAAGTGAAGGAAAGTAACAATGTCTTTATGTAAAATATAATGAAATTATGAATGCTAGGAATTTACTGGAAAAGTTTTGTGTGAGATTTTAAGCTGTTCTCTCATTTACATACGTATATTTATAGTTGGAATAAAGTAATTTACCGTTAAAATTGGACGATATTCCAAAGTGTTTTCCTAAATTCGACATTTTAAGAAAACTGTAGCTATAATAAACAAAATACAAGTTTATAAGTGAACTTCGATTTTTATGGAAAATAAGTTACACTAGTAATGAAAAGTTGGAAAGAGAGTAGAACCACTAGACAAAACAATATATTAACCAATAAATTCTTTGATTGTCAATCATGCAAGAAAACTTCTTGATGTTGTATTTTAGAATCTTGAGATGTCACAGAAATCAAAATCGGTTACAATGAATGACATGTGTGTATAAAACTATTCTTTATTTCTACATTTTATTGTCTCGTGTTATTTGAACAACGCTTTTATTCATAACTCCCTTACCATTTTTATTAAAATAATTTGTTTTTGATGGTGGCATTAAATAAACAAGAATCACTCTATATCAACTTCATTGAATACGAAAAGGCATTTGATAGCGTGGACAGAACAACACTATGGAAACTTCTTCGACACTACGGCGTGCCTCAGAAGATAGTCAATATCATACAGAGTTCATATGATGGACTACACTGCAAAATCATGCATGGAGGACAGTTGACAAAGTCGTTCGAAGTGAAGACCGGTGTTAGGCAAGGTTGCTTACTCTCACCCTTTCTCTTTCTCCTGGTGATCGACGGGATCATGAAGACGTCAACATCTGAAAGGAATCACGGGATACAATG